ACCCTGTATATTGTTACGTCCGGCTCCGCCGTCCACACAACACCTTGCGCACTCGCGCACTCGTCGGCTCGATTTTCGCTCACGGCGTACGCCACCGGGCCGCGAAGAAATCAACATGGATTGGAAATCAACAAGGAAACTTTATTCGGTAATGAACACACGTCTGTACTCTCGAAGAGCCCAGAGACAAAATCAGAAAATCAATAAACAACAACCGCGCATCGGTCCTTCACGACCGATCTTTTAATCCGCCGCGACTTCACCCCGCGGCCGGCGCGCTCTCAGGGCGTCGCATCCGAGCACGGCTGCACGGGCGTAACACTACCCCCCTCTTCTTAAGATTGTCGTCCCGACAATCTAGGCAGGGGGGCAGTAAAATTCTGGCAGCTTCTTTCCGACTTCGGACTTGGATCCCAGACCAGGATGTCCCCGGAGGAGAGCCATCCAGACTCCTCCCCCCATAGCTGGTTCCAGGGCATCCTCTTCCTGCCGGTACTTTGCCAAAAAATAACTCCGCACTCTGCGGAACCCGCATGCCGCTCGACGACGTCCTACTTGAGTCCTCTTGCGCACTTGACTCTTCCCTGAGTCGTCTTGTGCGCTTGACTCTTCCCTCTTCGGACAGGGGAGGGGATACTACACAGGGACCCTTCGCCCACGCGGGCTCTCCCTGTCCCTGCCCCGGCATTTGCCCAAAGGCCTCACGGGAAAACCCCGATTCTAAAAACCGTGGGCAGGGCAGTCTTCTTAATTCTTAAAGAAAGTCTTCTTTTAGAGCGATCCTCCACTAGGAGTTCCTCCTTAGAGACCTCATCATCGAATGGAATTATACTAAACCTGAAACAGAAAAATCACGCAGAAAACTTTTTGAACAAAAATACAGGGTGTCTATATTTACACGGGCTCCGTTCCCTAACATTAAACCCTCTCAACAAAAAGAACCAACCTATCCGCGTGAACGACCGTACATCTATGCTTAGGCGACTTCCGAATGCAGAAAACAACGTCACTAAGTTTCTTGTCTATTAAGAAAGGACCCTCCCAACTGGACTGTAACTTGGGAGCCTTTCCTCTTTCTTTTTTTGGATTGAATAACCACACCTTTTGTCCTTCCTGAAAAAGAATTTGTCTAACACCTTGATCATAGCGGCTTTTCATCCGTGAAGACTTAACCTCCATACGTTCCCTCACACTTGAATGGATTTGATCTAATTTTCCTTTTAAGTTTCCCAAAAAGCTTTCTTTCACTTGATCCTCCTTTCCACAGATAACTGGAGGACAACCCCGAAGAAGGTCCAAAGGTAGCCTAAGATCACGACCATAGCATAATTCCGAAGGAGATACTCCTGTAGTTTCGTGTTTTGAAGATCTATATGCCAGTAAATACATAGGAATCCAACGATCCCAATCTTTTTGATTGTCTGAAATAAATTTTGCCAGAAAATCGAGAATTGTTCTATGTTGGCGTTCAACTTGTCCATCCGTTTGCGGATGTAAAGGGGTAGTCCTAGTTTTCTTAATTCCAAGTAGAGTCATTATTTCTGAAAACAGTTTGGATTCAAAGTTTCTACCTTGATCAGTGTGGACTTCGCCTGGTATTCTGTGTCTAGAAATTATTTGATTAACAAAAACCTCAGCTACTGCCTTTGCTCTGATATTTTTAACAGGAAAAGCTTCCACCCATTTTGAAAAACAGTCAATAACAACGAGCAAGTATCTGTTGCCTGCAGTGGAAGTAGGGAGAGGCACAAGAACATCAATCTGTACCCTCTCAAACGGAGAACCTACATTATAAATCTGGAGTGGCGATTTTCCTTTCCCTGTAGGTCCTCTCCTAGACACACAGTATGGCAGGATCTGCACCAATTCTCCACATCTTGTTTGCAAGTGGCCCAATAAAACCGCTTTTGAATCTGTTCTAACGTCTTATTAACCCCGAAATGTCCCCCCCCCCCGATGAAGAATCATGAGCTATTTCCAAAATCTCTTTAGTTCGTTTGCGAGGAACAATTAACTGAAGAAACACAGTTTTAAGATTCGGAGAATACCATTTCTTATAAAGAATCCCGTTTTTCAGAACCAGAGCCTCCCAATACAGCCAATAAATTCGAGAAGAAACACTACTAGAATGTAACTCAGAACGCAGCGGGCGTACCCCTAATTCTTTTCCTCGGTAGAACAAAGCGATCTCCGGATTGTCTTTTTGATCCTTACGCCACTGATCTAAATTCTCTCCGTCAAGGATAATCCTGGAAATGGTTTTCTTGAACTCAACAACATTTCCTTCCTCCCGTTTTTTGCAATACGTACAACCTAGAGATTCACAAGGGCGTCTAGAAAGTCCATCTGCATTTCCGTGTACCCGACCCTTTCGATAAAGAATTTCAAAGTCGTACTGTTGGAGCCTTTCTAACCAACGAGCGAGTTGTCCTTCCAAATCCTTAAAGGACATAAGCCACCTCAGAGACACATGATCTGTTCGAATCAAAAATCTTCGACCTAAGAGGTAATGACGGAAAAATTTCAATGGGTCTACCACCGCCAGAAGTTCGCGCCGCGTTACGCAATAATTTCTCTCAGATTTGTTAAGAACGCGACTAAAGTAAGCAATAACCCTTTCAACTCCTTCACACCTCTGTGAAAGAACAGCACCTATCCCAATGTTAGAAGCATCCGTATCAAGGACAAACTCTCCATCCTGCTTAGGACAGGAGAGGACTGAAGAGGAAGATAATACCCCCTTCAATTTCTCAAAAGCACATTGACACTCTTCACTCCATTTGTACCTAACATGATCCCCTGTAAGCTCGTAAAGAGGTTTTGCCAAACTAGAAAAACCTCTGATAAATTTGCGATAGTAAGAACAGAAACCAAGAAAACTTCGCAACTGTTTTTTACTGTAGGGCTGAGGCCAATCTTTTATAGCGGAGATCTTCTCGGGATCCGTCGAAATGCCCTCAGAAGAAATGACATGTCCTAAATATTTAACACTTCTAGCAAAAAGAACACACTTCTTTGGATTAACACGAAGATTCACTTCTCGAATTCGAAGAAATACTTTTTTTAGATTGTGAAGCATCTGCTCGAAGGTCTTTCCAAAGATGATAACATCATCAAGATAAACGAGGCAGATCCTAGACAAGAAGTCTCCAAGGACCTCCTCCATTAGTCTTTCGAACGTAGCAGGAGCATTGCACAAGCCAAATGGCATGACTGTGAATTGCCAGAGTCCTTTTCCAATAGAGAAGGCAGTTTCTCTTTATCCTGTGGACGAATTTTCACCTGCCAATAACCGTCTTTTAAATCGATGGTAGAAAACCAGGAATTTCCTGAAAGTTGATCCAAAATGTCATCGATCCTAGGTATGGGATAAGAGTAGCCAAGCGTCGAGCGCACACGTTTTTACGACGTGTTGCTTGTGTGCGAGCGTGCGCGCGCACGCGTGGCCAGACGGACTATCCCCTCTCCAACCCCCACCATCGCGGCAGCATGCGGGTAAACGTTCCCGGCTGGGCACACTGCATGCATGTGCCGCGGATTGCCTCGCGCCGCGGACCTCCCCGCGCCGCGGATCGCGTAGTGCTGCGGTCCTCTCCGCGCTACCGCTTCACGGATCGCGTAGCGTCGCGGTCCTCCCCCACCCCGCGCCCCCGCGAATCGCCGCAGAATATCTCCTTCCCCGCGCCCCGCGGATCGCCAAGCGTCGTGGAATAATAAACGTGGAACTCCTCGACATCGTTCACCTTGATAAGAAAGTCACTGTCAGCAGCCAGGTTTCGGCGCTTGACCCCGTGACTCATAAGAATACTCGTCCAGGTGTTCGCGCTAATAAAAAGTATCGAATGACAGGTCAGCACCTTTGTTTTTTTTTACGTGTGGAAAT